GAACAGTTCAACCGCCATCTGCCAACAATATCAGTTGAATAAACCTCCAGATCTAATGCACTCATGGCGTTGGTATGAAAGGAATGGCAGCGTACTCATGCAGGCTATTGTGGTCCTTTAATCGGAACATTTTATCTGTTGATAGTTTATGACTATTCGAAATGGATCACGTTTATCCAGTGTCGCATCCCACAACAGAAGCAACCATTCCAAAGATGCGACCATCGTTTACGGTTTTCGGAATACCTGAAATTGTTTGTATAGATAATGGGTCCTGTTTTACCAGTAAGAACTATGAGAGCTTTAGGCAGAGCAATGGCATTCAACCCGTACGTACAGCCCCATATCATCCTGCGTCAAATGGATTAGCCGAAAGAGCGGTGCGGACGATAAAACAAGACCAGCTAAAGCAGTTATCGGGAACCGTACAAACGCGAGTTGATCGATTACTTTTTGCCTACAGAATAACTCCGACAGAAGCTACGGGTAAATGCCCCGCAGAACTGATGTTCGGTAGAACACTTCGTAGTAGATTACACCTATTATTTCCTAATCGTCGAGCGCAAATAGAAGCGAAACGAAACAAGACAGCTACGTTAGACAGGGATCACGATGTTGTTTTCCAACCGGGAGATCCTGTGTATACACGACTTGCCCACGAACAGTCCTGACAGCTCGCAACCGTGGGCACAAGTGATGGTAACCACGCTGACCTAGAGGTAAATAGTCGCGTCTTGTGGAGACATTCAGATCATATACGTCCGCGTTGTGTAGAAACACGAGAAAATGAGGAAAATATACCTGACTCAGTTCAGCTGACGGTGGAACAAACCGCTCAGGATAGGGTGCAAATAACAAACTGCTCACCACTTCGCAGCTCTCAAGGTGTACCTAAACCTGTTGAATGTTTCGTTCCCGATGTGTGACTTTCTCCAAGAAAGGGGATGTTACATCCGTCAATGATATTGATTAGTTAGTTGAGCCACATCGCGTTCTTATTGGTTTTCCTCGCATTGACCAATCAATAGTTCCTCACGCATGCTTTAACTCGTGTGCCATGTGAGCCCTGTCGCACTGCTTCGCCCGGTACATTTTGTTTCATACTGCGACATTTTCTTGCCTAACTGCGGTTTGGGACGTGCATTGCTTGAATTTACCATGTATTAGGAAGATCGTTAATTTTTGAAGTGAGGTACTTTCGCTTGCCCGGAAATTCTGTGCGACAGGTCGCGAGAACTACTTTTGTCTCTGCTCCCAGATACCACGTCTTTTTGGATTTAGAGTTCGTGTACAATTTTCGGGTAGACACAGTCCTGGAATCGTAGGTTGTGCGAGTGTGATTCTTTGTGACCGACGTTTGCACATCTGACAGAGATGCTTTTTGTAAGTACAGAATGCCACGAAATGCGATCCACCAGATTTCCAGCATGAGGTCGGGGTTTCTGGTTGGGTACTCTATGGCTCACATTTTTACCTCGGAGAGCCGTGCGGTAAATTTGCGGTTCACACCTGGGGTCAGCATTTTCAATCATTTTTGTATCATATTTTAAGTTAATCAGTCTCTGGCACTCAGCAGCAATGTCCTGTAATGTCAAAGGGTGTTCCTGCGTATGCGTACATCAGCATCGGTATGAGACTGAAGACATCAAACAAATATGAGACTTTTAGACTGATCAGGTATCATCGTGCTCAATTTGAAACAGCCATACGCTCGATTCACAACTCCAGTATGTGTTATAAAAGGATGGCTGTCACGTTTGAGCAATGTTAAACAATTATAACGGATACTGAACAAAGATGCTTGCTCCCAGAAAATCGATGTGAGAATTTCCACAGTCTCATCGAAGCGGAAGTCTCTTGGATTCTTTGGCAGCACAAAATTGGTGTACCGTTCATGCGCGACTGCACTGAGTTTACTCAGCAACAACCAAACTTTCCATGCATCATCATGCGACGCCAACTCAACACGGAAAAGGTCTTCATAGTTCTTGAACTAGGAATCAAAATTTACCCCGTTCGATTCACCGAAAACAAACTCCGTGATTGCCGCTGTGACTGCATCTACTGAAGTCCGTGTACCAGCACTTTGAGGCTCAGATCGAACGTTCAGCTTCTGTGCAAATAACTCGAACAATTGTTCCGGGATTTCGTGAACTGTAGCTGCTGTTGATGGAGAACCTGGTGCATCTGATCAACTGAAATAACCATTGTTGTCTGACACCTCCGTCGCCAGAATATATTATGTCCTCAGAGTTACGATTTAGCAACTTCCTCGCAAGCCAAAAGTCAAATCACCGGACGAGTAGTATACTGACGAACACAAAACAAGCCGACGTGGGACGAAAACACACCTAAACAGTTCGCATCATAGCTGTATGCTCCGTTGATTTTGTAGATCTCAAAGAAGCAAGGGATATGTGAGTGATGTGAAACGAGTGACAGTAACAAATGGTCTGTGACACAGAAAAACACTGGTTCGATTGTAGCTAAGGCTGTTCTGATACAAAACACACAATTGCTTGTGGCAAATTGCCCACTTACCTTCCTGAACAATACATTTTGTTTCGTTTCTGTGCGCATTGACTTTGATCTGTGTGGAATTTTACTTTTTCAAGAACGTTACAAGATTCGTTCTGATGCAGTGACGTCAACTCGACGCTTCTCAGACAGTGGAATGTTCCTCGGAGTAGGTCGTTCGAGACCTAACAGGAACCAAGACTAGGCTTTAACTCACCAATATAAGGCCCAGTTGAAGAGCGCCAAATCCCATTGTTCTGCTTGAGATCCGACACACGCAACCAGGAAGGAATCGCAACAAAGCACGATGAGTGATGGAGGGTTCGCACTAGTTTCGTCAAACACTGTCCAGTCTGAGGAATATGACAGTGTACCAGCGACAAAAGGATAATGCACTTTATACGCCAAAACCCCAGATGCTCAGATTATGATTAAATAGAACAGGTAACCCGAAAATACTATCTATCAAGACTAGTTGAGAGACAGAAACTGTCAAGATCCCTTTCCCGGTGAAGCTAGATTTTTCTTAACTCTAAACAATTCAACTGTCTTATATAAGCATCTCTGAGGCAAACAGAGGCTATGGCTCAGATCATAAAGATAAGCACAATAAGCGCGACGTTACGGCTAGATCCTCTCGCGACCAGTCCTGCTCATAAGCTATCTAGGCGAACTAAGAACAAGCTCGTGCCAAGGAGACAGGGAGCGTCGCTGTCATTTATACCTCCTCGGCCCCACTTTTTTTCCCCAATTCCATATCTTCTCTTCCTCATTTCGCAAGCAGGAATGGCTTAGACCAAGTTAGGTTCACGTAAGCAATGGTATACCTTAAAGTAGCTTTTTAAGAAAACGCATTCAACTTATGTTAGGCCATTCATATTTCCCAAAATTAATTCGACTACTCATCTTCACTCTTTGCTCATTTGGAAGGTGTCGTCGCCAAAACACTATCTCAGGCAATGGTTACACTGCTCACAACGTTCCATCCAGCCAATGCGCTCCGTAAAACATTCCCGCGACATGGTGTCATGGTTAAAATGTACAAACACAACTTCGAATTCTCACGTAAATTGGTCAGATATAAGTGCAATCACTTCCAAATATGCTACTCTTTACCACAGTTAGTTAATAATTAAGTATTTAGTACCCCTTTGTGTGCCTGAAATGATAAGATGGCGATCTCCTGCAACGACAAGTGCCCAGTTCTAGCAGAGGTGAAGCGCTGCCCTCGCTAATGCTTTCTACGCTCATATATATATATATATATATATATATATATATATATATATATATATATATATATATATATATATATATATATATATATATATATATATATATGTCTTCATTGGTACGATATTTTGATATAATTAATAGTGCATTTTCGCAACAAGCGTGAAGACCAGTGAAGGAAAAGACGTCTTTTATCGTAGTAAGCTTGTAAATCATGACGGTCCGAAGCTGTCCAGCGTGGCCCAGTGGTATAATCTGCTGACTGGTGGTTCAAGCAGCTGGTGGTCATGGGTTCATATCCTGACGGATGCGCACTAATGACGATGTCCAACAGGCTGAAACTGCAGTCTAGTGATTTTCCGGGCATGTGAAAGACTATCTGATTGGGAAACTGGCTGCGAAGAACTTGAATTAATTAGAACAAAGACCCCTACTCATGAGTACATCAAAATATATCCGCCCTAACAGTTGCTAAATGCCATGTCGTACATAGCTACTGTTATTGGACGTCATGTCTTTCGGGGTCAACACTGTCTTCTGTAACCTTCGTAACTTGCATGGCAGTGGAGGATAAGACGCGCTATATCGCAGTTACCTTGTTAATCATGACGGTCCGAAGCTGTCTCCCGTGGACCAGTGGCTTAAGCTGCTGACTAGCGGTTCAAGCACCTGGTGGTCATGGGTTCATATCCTGACGGATGCGCACTGATGACGATGCCCAACAGGCTGAAACTGTAGTCTAGTGATTTTCCGGGTATGTGGACGACTATCTGATTTGGAAGCTGGCTGCGAAGAACCTCAAGTGCATAGTTCACTATAAAGAGATGTTCTCCCAAGGCGTCTAATTTTTTGACCGCAGCGTTTCGTTCCGCTGACATGGATTCTTGAAATGCAGAACCTGTCGAAAGTCAACTTAAAAGAGGCGACACAATCAGTTCGCCAGTGCTGCGTCACTGACGAAAACACTATGAAGTACAGAGCAGTTCACTTTGACTCGTCAACCATTCAAGATAAAGTAAGTTGCGCGTTTGTCCCAGTGCACTGACACAGCTCCTGTCCGCATGTCCCAATGAATGATGTAAGACGATCCAGGCCAAACAAAAATGTCGGCGTCAGTAGTTATACATGCGTATTCATATGGATTAAAAAATCGGCAGACTTCACCATAACTAGCTACTGAGTTAAACCAGTTCGTGATTGTTGAATAACAACTCCTTGTCTGATGAACGATCGATCTAAAAAGCACTAGTCATAAAGTGGCAGTCATTGAATAATGTAGATAACAGAATGGTACAATTTACATGTGAAAATGGCGCGTTTTGGGAAGTTGAAGATGGTTAGAACAAGGCGTTCGCAGATCGGTTCCTTGACTGGGAAGTCGGCACAAAGATCAGTAAAACGTTAACAGGAGAGAAATTGGGTTTCGAGCTAGCGGTGCGTGAAAACAAGACTGTCTGATACCTGATCATAAGATACACTGCGCAAAATCAGCTGAGTTCGTACAAAGAGAAGGAAGGCGCGGAACTGCAACGCAATCGCTTCACAAGTAGTACATGCCCAACCCAAATGAAAAGCCAGGGCTGGTTGAGTCTCCAGGTTGACTTTGAATTGGTATGCAATAATTGACCTCGATCCGAAGCAGACCAGCAAGGCGGAATACCAAGCCGGCGCCCAGAACAGTTCGTGGTTTGCTCCATAACTCGGAGCGTAGTCGATGGGTCACTGATTGACCGGAAGCGGAAGAGAAGCAATTGGATAAACGTTGAATGGGTGCGTCTAACGTGCCGCCTAGAGAGAGATTTGGAAGTACATGTGAACAAGAGGTAAAATGAAGATATGGGCGCTTAAATCTTCAAGGAACAGTAGCAAACCTGAAATGCGATACAAGAACTGATGGGACAGCATGCTTGTCCACACTAAAAAGTGGGAACGCAGTAGATCGAGCTTTGGAGGAGAGTGCTAGAATTCACATAACGTCATCGCATAGTGGGTGGTGATGAATGTACGCAGATGGGAGCCCAATGTCTCCCGCATTAAAATGCATAAAATGGTATTCATTATAAAAGTAGTAGCAAAGAGCACGCAGAGACGCACATCCAATGATCGTCATGGAAAGGGATGTTGAAAAATACCTCAGTAAACTCAGCAGAAAGCGGTTTCGTCGCCTGTTGCGTTTCGAATTGCTGCACAACAATCCGAGAAAGCAGTCGTGCGACAATAAGTTACATGAGCAGAAGCATACTTGAAAGATCAGAAGAAGTAAATGGTGCCACTGTGTACGGTTGTGAACCGATGTCGTCTTCAGCAAACCTGAACAATCCAGACATGGGTACCAGTACATACGGTGTAAGGGCAAAATCACACCAGGTGCTACCAAGCACTGGGTACAACGACAATTTTTATAACAATAGAAGGCCCGATGCCGTTCCTCTAATTATCTTCGGTTCGTCCTCGTTTCCAAGTTCCTTTTGTTCATGGTTTCCTCATATCAAGTCAAGTCAAAAGAGGCTTGATGCAAACGGATAGATCAATTTTCAGCAAGTTACACTAAAACTTCGAATGAAGAAAGAAGTGAAATGTATGTATAAAAAATAAAGTGACCAATGGAAAATGTCTACACATATCACTCGAGCAAATGACTGCTCATCATGGTGACAGTTTTCGTTGGATCAATAAATACGCCAGACAAGTGCGACAAGACGGGATTATGGTGAGATGCGGTATCAGAAAATGATACTAATTTAGAGCTTGTAGATGAAACAGAAATGTGATACATAAACAAAAGATAAGGAAGCTAGATTACCCGTCAAACTTTGAGGTCTTTAGTGTGCAACTGTTGGGTCAAAGCGGCCAACAAACGAAACAAGATATGATCTAAAAGTCGCTATGAGCTGTGCTGTCTTTGAAGTTTGTGCATAAGATGACGGCATGACAATGAAACTATGACTTACGACCTACGGTTCCAGTAGTGGAGCTTACGCAAACCAGTTTATCAACAGGGTCCAAAAAGGAACAGTGATACTGAAGATATCCGAGTGGTTTTCAGTGCACTTGTGAATAATGATCCGCTTGAACAAGCCGTAGGGAAAAATCACAGGTATGTAATCCGGGTTTTTAGTTCAATCGTTGTTAGCAAGCAGTGATCGAGAGCAAAAATTTTCTTTAACGTGTCGGTATACACCCACATCGGCTGCGAAGCCCTCATTCGTACCTCGAATGACTGAAAGTAAGTGCGTCGTGAGCATTGCCATGGGTCACCTAACAGAGAAAGAACACCGCCTAAGGAAATTACTTTGGGTTGATGATGTCCTTTTTCTTTGACTGATGGGTGCTACCGTACCGGTATAACGACTATCCGTTAAGGGCATTCGCAATGAGTTATACAGTGAAATCGAACGGTGGAGTATGCTGGGGTTAAAATGATCACATCGCCAACAGCTGCAGAGGACCCGCGGCAGTTCAGAATCATGGTGCTGGTTTTGATTCTGACCATGTTCTGACTAAGTCCTAAACATAAAATTGTATGACAGGCTGAATACTTTAAGGGACGTTTCAGCCGGCTGGTGTGTCTGAGTTGAGGTTATGGCAACCTGAACTCTCGGGAAACAATAACACCGAAATTACGGATTAAAGGAAAATTAGCTACAGTGGCTATGGATACATCTACGTGAAAGCAACTTCGCGAATTCAGTGGACAAAATTACCAGGCTGTCCCTAAAAAGAAAAGTCACATCATTAACCCGAATACATTGCGTGAGGCACTCACCTATCTGATAAAACCCGTGCAATCGAAAATGAGATGCGAAAGAGCCTTCGACGGCGTCGAAGTAAGGCAGCGGGGTATATAAATGCCCACCCGCAAGCCAAAAGCCCTCCGAGCCGATTGGACTGGCGCCAGTTGTATTGGCCGACACATCGATTGAGTCATTTGAGATGGGGTCAGTGATGGGCAAATTGAATTGGGTAGGCCGCAACAGTGGTTCCACAGGACCAACGGATCGCCACCGAAAACCACGAAATTCAAGTGGACCACCCAAGAAAAATCTGTCAGCGATGTGTATCTGAAAATTGCAATGCGGACGAAGTGTAAACAAAAAGCAGCCTAACGTATCACATAGAGACAATCAGTGTTGACACTAGCATAAAGAACGTGATCGATCGCAATCAGTGCCAAACTGTTACTATAACGATGAAATTGAATAAAATAAAAAGAGGCAAAGGAATAAATGTGCGTGGAATAAAGAGCTGGTTTAGCTAAGGAGTTGACTAGATGGACCTGGTGAACAAAATATGTCTATGAAGAAGGTGTCATAGCAGAAAGTCCTTTTAACTACCCATGTTGAATGCCTGGCGTAATGACATTGAGCCGCGGCTCCCTCACTCACAAAATCGATTGGTACAATGTGACAGATGAGCTAACGATAGAAGAACCCCTCGCCTGTGCTAAAAATAGCTCAACTCGAAAATTCCTGATGGTTAGTTACTACCTGACATCAAGAATGCCGTTGCTCAAAAGCACCATGATCTAGGAGGGTTAAGTACCATGAAAAATGCCATATGGGTCCACAGACGATAGTACTTCAGAATCATTTTAAAAAAACGCACACGGTGCTATCAATCTGTCGATGGTATCTCCAGTGCAAAACTGCAAAACAAAGTGGCTTCAAAGACAGAACGATAAGAAGCGTGCATTCGCAGCTACCCATGAGGCGCAAGGGAAATGGCAGGGTGATGGGATGCCAGTTTGGCAACCGCGTGAGGGAGCATGGCATGATAATGGACTGCTTTAGAGAAACAAAGCGATGGATATAGCAGAGAAATCAGCACTCTATCTGTGCATTTCTCTGAGTTATGTTTATGTTTGGAGGTTCGTCACTCGCAAGTGTTGGTAAAATCTGGATACCTAAGTTTTATCGACATGTTGTCCAGAAACTAGTAAAATACTTCGAAGATATCTGCAGAGCACCACTTGATTCCAAGAAAAAGAGTAAACAGACACGGTGATGCAGCGCTAACTACCCGGAGTACCAGGAAGCGGGTGCAACAATGAGGCGTAAAATGAGGAGATTTAAGCCACTTGAGAAGACCGAATGCAGACCGGTGAACATAAGAAACATACGTTGCTGCAATGGATCCAGGAGCGTGGCCGAAAAGCCATGAAACTGACTTCGTAAACTACCGATAGAGGAAATATATTGCGAGAGCTACTAGGACCAACAGGTTTACGTAATGTACAAACGATGTGGCACCTCTGCGATTACCAACAGAAGGAAAATGCCTACGAAACACTTTAATACGCCCTCAAACTCCCAGAGAAGTGCACCAGGGGATGTATTTTGTTCAACAGCGAAAACCGAACAAAAAATCAACCGCATGTGGGCCAACACCTAAGGAAATAAACGTGCGACTAAGCAACAGCGCCTTATGAATACAGCACACGATTTGCATAAACCGACTTCTATCATATACATGTTTTGCTTATCGAACTCCGTCGCAACGAAACTGGAGCTTAATGTGGTATGACACTTTCCGTATCTCTTTGACCCACTGGTGCCCCAGGGCCCCCTTAAGAGCTACTACTACCAGTTTAGTCAATGGTTAGAGGTCAGACAAACGCAACCTCCTGGTCTTCCGAGTTTGCGGCTTTGAAAATGGATGGCGTCCATTTTTGTAATATCATTGCCACCACCCCACTGCCCTTGGCTATTGAGCCAAGGGCATTGGTTGAGGACCCTAATCGTCCTCCTGTGTAGATTTGGGCGCACTAGCAGTATTACAGCCCACTTACAACAATGACAATTTCCTCAAACGTTTACTAAATCCTGCATCCGCTGTCGCGCAGCTCATTAAAGGCCGCCTCAGCTGCTGTATACAACAGGGCGGATAAGCAACAACATGCTACTGCTGGCGCCTCCTTTATTCCTCACCTGCTTCTCTTACTCCCATTCTAATCCGCATTAATAACCTTCGTACTATAGTTCCCAGCGTAATCGACAGCAGCTGTAATGCCACTGCAGTCGAACCAACTGCAGCTACCTTCCCGCACCACCCATTAGACGCCTATCGGCAACAGCCCCACATAAGGCCACGTTGTCTGGTTTCGTTAGCAGAGTTCAACGTTCGCACTCTAAGACAAACAGGCCAACAGGCTGCACTCGAACGCATGTTAGACTCACTGGGTATCGACGTACATTGCGTATCCGAAACTAGGATTAATGACAATCACGGGTTTGTGGAATTAACTGCGTCCGGCTTGTCCTCTCGCTATTGGTTACACGCATCCGGAGCCAGTGATGCCACAGTCTGGCTCCACAGATGAGTCAACGTTAGTTTGACTGCATTCCGACGAACAGCCCTTTGTGTGCAACCCGTTTGGCGGCGTCGACCAAGGCTAATTCAAGAAGTAGTTCAAGACGCTGTTTGTTTGTGGTTTCCGCTTACGCTCTCACCGACTGCAGTTCTGATGAGGCCAAGGACACATTCTACCAGGAACTGAACACGCTACTACGCAGTGTTACCAGTTCAGATAACCTAGTACTTGCAGGTATATGAATGCACAATTAGGTCGCATGGGCTCTTCAGAAGCTCAGCTAAGTGGTAATTATGGCCTTAACTATGATCCTACAGACAACCGCGAGCGTCTTTTGCAATCGGGTGCGGAGCACCAGCAGCTTCTTAGTAACACTGCTTTCAAACACACTGTTCGCCGAAGTGCCACTTGGTGTCTTCCTGTAGCTGGCCAGCGATGGACCCAAATAGATCAGATTGTTATAAGTTACAGATTTCTTGGTTCCATTGTAGATTTTCGCTCGTTACTTGCTTGTTACTTGCGTCGACTATAATTACGCGTTGGTAAGCTGTTGCTTTTCCACGAACTTTACCAGGAAGTGTAGCAAGCGTCTCCCCCGATTGGCAACTGAGAAATTATCCCAGACATCGTTCAGGCAAGCCTACCAGGATCCACTGCGTACCGAACTTTCGCTCTGCCGTCCTGATGACACTGAGCGTCAGTGGAATAGGATCTCGGTCGCTATGCACGACGCAAGAGCATCTACTTTTGGTACTATCACTCGTCACCATACCGTAACGCGACAAGATGGGACCTTACTTACTTAATTTACTTTAATGTAGCTAACTCCTGAGACAGGATGAGCTGGCTTCATGAATGTCGCGGATTGTAGCTGTCCAAACGCGGCGGCCGACTGCAAGCTCCACGCAGATACTGATCTAATGATTTCTTCAGTGACGAGCAACATGGAGTCCCGGAAGATCGACATCCGATTTCGCTGCGGCTAGCCACGTTTTCACGGCGACTACACCGACCCTGGTAAGGCGAGGGAGAAACCACGACCCTAGTGAAATCAGTGTCTGGTCTGCGGAGGACGTGACCGAACCACTAAAGTCGGCGGTGTTGGATGAGCGCTGAGAGCTTCGGAAGACCGTAATAACGCTTACGGACTTCGTTATTGGTGATATGCTCACGCCACTGTGTTTTCAAGATAAGCCTTAGATATCAATGGGAGAAGACTTCTAGCTTCCGGGTGTCCTCGGATCACAAAGGCCATGTCCCCAACCACAAAGTAAAATGGCACGAATGGTTGCTGAAAAAAGTCGAATTTTCGTTCTCAGATTAATTTCAGCCTTTCACCACAACGTGTTTCTCATCCGGATTTCGGATGTGGTCTGACCATTGAGGAGAACAGTGGATCCAAGTTACCTGAATTCAGGAACAGACTAGATGAGATGTTCGTGTAAGGAGAGCGACGGGGCGGACTGTATGGCTGAGGATGAGAAGTACTTCGTCTTGCCGATATTAATTTCGAGGACGATCAGAGAGGCTGATTAGTCTACCCGATTTAGCAGACTATAGAGAAATAGAACCTTGTGCAAGAATGGCGATATCGTCAGCAAATTCTAGGCCTGACAACCAGAAATTAGGGCTAAATAGGACAGTACAATAGCCCACATCATAAACATTATACACGTGGGAAATACCTCAGCTACAGTGCCGCAATACATAAAAAAGGGAAAATGCAAAAGGTGCAAGCCAGCTGAACTACCGTAACGAGTGGGCATCGTTGCGAAAAGCTACCAGCCAGCTACTATGCAGCAAAAAAATTGCTATGCAAAATTATATAAGGCTAAGTAGAGGGATCGTGGTTGGAGGGGGAGACTAAAAGGGATGGGGTGAGGCAAACACACAGCACAAACGCCACTGATGTCGGTTCCTAGCCATATCTGTTCCTTATAGAGAACAGCTTCTCGCATAGTCGAGGAATATACAATTTATTTATTTATTTATTTATAAATCCAAACGCGTTTATCGTCTTTCGGACCACAATCAGGGAGCCAAAACGCTCCAGCCGAGGCCATCTTCGAAGTGAAGACCTTCATTCCTCTCGACCAGGTTATCACTTGGTCACTCCTTCTATCCACACCCCAGGCGCGCAAACAACGCACGAAGCGAAAGTCGGTGGGTTGGCATGAGCAACACGTGGCCGAGCCATCGGAGCCTGGTGCGTGAAATCACTGTGCCGAGCGGTTCATTTAATTTGCTTGTACCGTAAACAAGGCGTCGAAGACGCTCGTTGTTCGCACAGTGTTCCCACCAGATGTGAGCCAAATTGCGAAGGCACCGGTGGTCAAACGTAACTAATCTCTTTAGGTCCATTGATCTAAGGGGCCAGGTTTCACAACCATACAGTAGGGTCGAAAGTACCACTGAATTGCACATTCTACTCTTCAGCGCGACAGTGATGTCACGCAACCGCCATAAGTGGCAGTGAGCAAAAGCGCCTCGAGGTCCCGGCCAATCGTGGAGGAACGCATGCAGTTCAAGGGTGTGAAGCAAAGTTCGAAGTGACGGACAGCCAGTTCTAATCTGTCCAGTGCAGCTGGGCACGTCTGGGAGCTGTCGCTGATAAGGGCAAAATCGTCAGCATACTTCGTCAAAAAATAGCCTCCTCCTAGGAGCAAATCCACACCTTCAAAGTCGTGATCAGTGAAAGCGATTTGTATGACTTTGTCAATAGCGAAAATGAAAAGGAAAGGTGACAGCGGG